TAGAACTAAACAATGAAGGCTTCCTCTACAAAACTTCCAAAATCTGGAATTCAAACATAGAGTCATTCGAGCTAACAACAAGTTTTTTGCCAGGCTAAACTCTGGTAAAGTGAATACTGTTCTCGTTCAGAGTGTTAATCAATCATAACGCATAGTTTTCGGATGAAGCGACATGGCGCAATCACGACACCCCACCATAAAAGCATCGAGCATTCATCAACCAAAAAGGTGTACCGGATCCCCGGCTATACACAGAGTAAGCAGAACATACGACAACTTTTCTGTGCCAACAACATATCGAAGAGCGTTCCTCATGAAATGCAGGTATCGGGGAGGTTTGATGGCTATTTGTTGAGTTATAACAAAGGCATGCCTGGAATAAAAAGCCATTAGAATCACAAGCAATTTTACCATCAGAAAAATAGGATAAGTTTCGACTCAGCAAGGCCAAGACTGCTACATGAACCACAACATTTCAGAAACCCACCTATTGGCCGCGAAATACTGCAGTTTCTTCCTCGCCAGTTCAGCTTCCTCCCCAACCACTGTTATCCGTTCTTGCAATAGGTCCACATCAATCACAGCCTTTCCACGCAACTTCTGACGAACAAATTCCACATAATTTGCACCATGGCTAAAATAATACAAAAATTGCAGTAAATTAATATTGAGTCGAACAAAATATACCATTCCTCTGAGACATACCTATGACAACAAAGCTATGCCTATTTTCTGCTGGAATTAGTTCATATTCCCTTTTTCAACAACTCGAGACACCGCTTGACAGCAAAAATGCATACAAAATCACCAAGTCTCATCTTACTTCAAATAACTCGCCCCCCCCCCTACATGCCGAACCAAGCCTCAACTAGATGTGCACAAGAATGAAAATTTCTGTAGATTATAAATGACCTTAATTTCCTTTGTAATATATGAGCGATTTGAAGCAACAAACCCCAAGAGTCGTGTCGAACAGTACATTCTGTGAGTAGGACAAACCGCCCGCGCGTGTTGCAGCTGTGCCGTTGTTACGGCTCAGAAGTGCGCGACAATAGTGCCAGGCTCCTGAGAAGTGGCTAATGAATGGTTAACATGAGCTAATGGACGAGATACCTCGCGCGCACACCCCATGACACGCAACGGAGAGGTTATGACGTCATTCAAATATGCGCGGGTTAGCAAGGCCAGGGAGCAGGAAGTTCAGACAACTCGTCCGAATACGCCCCTCCCTCATCTAAAGTCGGATAGGGAGTCCTTGTTTAAGGACTCGACCGACGGTTTGCTGCTTTTTCAGATTGAATGCAATTCCGTCGTTTCACATTTTTGCTGGAGCGATGTACCACCAAAATCATCGTGGTTGTTATTCCCAAAGGGTTTCTCAAAAAAAAAAGACATCAAAAAATGCGACCTCGTTTTTCATGATCAAACTTTTTAATAAGCACTGGGGGAGTTGGGGATGTTTTCTTAATCGGGGATCCAATCGGCCACAGAGCTTCGAGGAGGTTTGGGGATACTTAACCGTAAATAGAAGGGTGTCCAATTGAGTGAACACTTGCCCATCTTATAAATGTAAAGTGGGGCCTTTCGAAATCCCGAAAAAGGAGCCGCATGGCCAAAATTCTTCGACAGCTGTAACTCCGGTTGCTGTCCGGTGAAACCGTGTCCCAGCAAACAGAGAATTTCACTTTTTTTAGAGCCTAGCAATAACCTGAAGAAAAAAATGAAAGGGGAGATGGATAGCTCCCTTAGCCAAAGAAATAGGGTGAGAGAACCAATGAAATGGGGGAAAAACGTACTCCCGAGGCCATCCTTGAACACTAAGCTCGCCTCGCGTCGTCGTCCAAAGTCAATCCTGAAGCTCGATAGTCCCCGTCAGTTTGTCACATTTAACGAGTAGGTCAATTCGTTAACAGCTGACTCTTCGTCGTTTAACCTCCTGATGGAATATGATATTCTATCATCCTTTGACTGTGGAATTTTCGAAACAGTACTATCGAGAATGCAAAAAACGCACCTTATGAAAGAGTCACACGCTACTCGCACTTCTTTCGTCACGCCAATTGCAATGCAGTAAATCGGTTTCATCACTAGCTGAATTTCGGTATTGCTTTCAAAGAATAGAGCAGATTGGAGGAAAAGGTGATACTTACCCACTGAGGAGCATCATACCCATTCGTCAAGCTCAACTCCCTTCCATCGAACGTTAACAAATTCACCATAACGTAGGAGCCAAGTTCATCCTTGAAAACCAACTCGGCCTCTTGGCTACTAGCGGGCTCTTCCTTTTCTGATTCTTTTTCTTTGTCCAAAAGGCGCCAGCTCCATGGAAGATTCCGGTTCAATAACTAAAATTATCGGCTACGATAAAAACTTCTTCGCAATCTCGCCATGAACGCGATAAAACTCATGGTTTTGTACAAAACAAATTCAAAAATTTAACTACTTAATACATGACTTGAAGAAATCTGAACACGATGTTGTCCTGCTCCACGTACTGATTTAAAAAAAATGAGAGGGTTCGATATCAGATCAAGAACACGTGAACATTTCTTTTTCTGTTGGGAATGCGCGACTTCGTTCCATATTTCACAAACTTCTCTACATGATACTTTTATCTTCGCCTCATTTTCGTTACAATTCAGAGGCCACGCTCGGAAAATCGCGCCCAGCACAAACAGCCGAAAAAAAAACCCTGTCGTTAATATGTGTTGTGAACAAAATCAACAATCATTCAACAAAATAGGAGGACTACTTCACAAAGGTCAAAAAAGAAAGTCTCGCTCAACATCGTATTTTTCACAGCATTAAAGAATTGTAGAAGCTGGACAAGGACACAAGTCGAAAGGATCTCTCCTGTGCATGTTCTCTCCGATTAGAAACGGATCAGAAGCCGTTTCTTTCATGAAAAGGGGACTCCCGAAAGGAAAGTAAATCAGGGTTACCGACAGCATTCCTTATAAAATTGTTTGAACTTCACCATTGGCACTGCTCGTTAAGTCGACTACAATCAAAAACCTTACGTCTTTCCATTCGTAGACGGACGACGGGTAAGCATCATACCATTCGCGGTTCCTTATGAGGCATTCGATGATTGCACGATAGACTGTGGTTCTTGCCTTTTCGTTCACACTACATAAATAAGAAAATTATAAAATAGAAAGAAAAAATAATGAAGAGAAAAACCCGAAAGATGAAGAACAAAATGAGAAAAGTACACTGAGATGACATACTCGTGCATCCCTTTATAGGATCGATGCAAGTAAACACGCTTCACACGAACGCCATTTCATTTCCAACACTCGACGGATATACTTTTCGAACAACGAATCATGTTGGAAACTTTCCTGGATGCATCCGATATTGATCTGCAATTAACGTTTGAAGGAGGATTTCAAGATAACGTGAGAGGTCGAAAAGAAGAAATATCTCTCGTGGAAAGGCAAGGAGGCGCCCCGAAGAATGCGAGACTATGCGCATTTTGCAGCGAAGGGGGCCTAACACGGCCTTAGCCACGCCGCTAGCGCCGCTCACCTCCCCTCGATTGGCTGACCCCACCGTCTCACTTTAGCCCTCTGGTAGAGAAATCGCTGGCGTTGATTAGGTCAGCACCAATGAGAATCGTCTAACGCGCGAATCAACGGGCAAAAAGCGGTTACATTTCTCGGGTTCAACGCCGTTTTGCATTGTTTTTTCTTCACCCTGGCATCACTGACCACTTCCACCTTGGTTTCTAAGAACTGTCTTTCCGTCGTAAACTCCACCCATAATCGACTATTGAGCTAGAGCGGAGGATTCACTCATATGTACCACACTAATGCTAACAAAGAAATGCCTATACCTGTCGGTAACATATGCCCATACTTCTTGA